AGTTATGAGTTCCAACCCCACTTCTCAATGCACTTTTCTGAAACTTTCCGATGTTCTGTCAGTGAGTCATAAAGGCCTGGTACAAGGCCTCAAAAGGCGTCTACCCAAAACCACTAAAAGAAGCCTTACGCCATTTCTTCTCGGTTCGCCGTCCCCTACGACCCGGGACTTTACTGTGGCTCAGTTGACCAAAGCAAGCAATGGGTGCTTGGGCGCAAAAGGCCAAGCCCTGAGCCCGAGCGCCGAAAGTCCTTTCCAAGAGGGAAGGAGTCTTTCCACAGGAGTCTCACTTTCATGTTGGTGGCAGGGTAAGTCAATATTGTCTTCCGCCAAAGTGCCTACATGCAAGCAAGCAGGTGAGCAAAGAAAAACACACACACACACATCAGGAGGCAGAGTATCTCACAAACACCGGCGAGGGATTCAAAGGGATGATCCTGGCACGCTTAGTTGACATAAAGTACAGGGCCCAACAAGGCCCCACATCAAAGGCTTACTCCAAGCCCCAAATCGAAGGCTGAGGCTTGCCGGCAGGGACTGTGAGTTGCTTCCACTCGGTTCAGCCATCTTTTGGTTTCCCCTTCACAGCCCCAAGGCCTGGAAGGAACAAGAGTCTTCTCAAAGCTGGGCTGTCCCAGATCCCCCGCCAAAAGCTTAACTTTTAGTGGGCGAAACACAAACATCCCCCACTAAAAAGCCAAAAACACCAAATGAAAAAAGGACCAAGGAACCGGATGGCTTTCGAGCCACCAAAGGGATCGCACGGGATCCGTCCGACGGAACGGCGAAACGCGAATTTCCGCCGCCTCAGCGCTCCGCAGGCGCGACGGGGAGTGCGGCTGCCAGGACACGGCCTGTGGCCCGGATTGATCTGACACGTGACCAGCGGGGGTTACAGGGAAACCAAAGGGAAAACCACCATTTGGGGGGGGGGGCCTAAAACAAGAAGTACCCCAGTCGTTGGTAAGGAACAATTTCACATGAATTGTCCAGAATTATACGAAATGATTAACAATAGATAGCAAACACGAGTTAAGGAAACGCCCTACTTTTGATGAAATGCCTAAACAAGCAATGACAAGCCAACGTTATGTTGAAGAAATACAAGAAAGGTATGGTGTTGAATCAATTTGGCTTTGATGAACATATTTTGTGAACAAGATATATGAATGCAGAAGTTATGATGTCAGATAAGGCAACACAAACGCTTGACTATGAATCCTGGTGGGGTGGACCATGATGTGTGTTTGTGCGTCTCCTCCAGGGTGCAATAGAGCAACTTTCGAGGCGGCTTGGCGAACGTTGGTAAACAAATGAATCATCAGTGAAGGAATAGTCCTTCAGTATCCCAAAGGAGATTCGCCATGCCAAAGAGCCAACTGGACAACTCACTTCCTTGAGTGGATGGCGAACCAAAAAAATGCCAAACTTGTTGCTTGCCACTTTGAAACCGTCTTTGAGTAAAGTCCATGAACTCAGGAAGTGAGACAAGGAAGACAAAACAAACTCCGAGAAGGCCGCGGAAGCCAAAAAAATCAACCATTTTTTCTGGGCTCCGGGCTGCCCTTCCGGGCCGGTCCGGCATTGCAGAGAGAGCCTGGAGGCATGAGCTCGCCAAAGCTCCGAATCCGGGGGCCCCCCTGCTGTGGATCCCAAGGCGAACTAGGGGCGCTTTTTCATGCTTAGTAACACGGGCTCCCTATATTTCCCCTTTAAACATCACCCCCACCAAGGGACACTCACCTTTCATGGGCCAAAAAGGTGATGTTTAAAACCACGAGAAAGGGAAATATAGGGACCCCTGTGTAAGGTGGTTGCAACTTGGTTACCGGCGATGCAATCATAGGATCCCTCGGTGAAAACCCCTTGCAATGGTTGCTTCCACTTCCTCAGGCAAATCGGCAACCGCGGGTAGAGACGTGCATGGCACCTCGAGAATTCCCCCCCCAAGGGGATTCCTTCTGCTATGATCTTCCCATCCCTTGGACATGTCAGCAAAACAACGTCCTTCCTTCTTTTTTGGAACCCACCAAGAATAAGACAATATCCAGCAAACTCGTCTGAAAAACTTCATCACCTCATGTTGGCATTTCTTCGTCGTCTCAACATGTTCAATGCCCAACCTCCGCATCAGATCGCAACTGAGGCCCAAATGGAAATGGAGATGGGTCTTTGGGAATGTTCCCCAAGCGCCCGTCCCTCTGCATTTTCTGCAATCAATTCCAAGACACATCCCCAACAAATAGGAAAGGCCGAACGCAGAGAGGGAAGCCCATGAATTTCAACATCATTCTATGCTGCAGGTGGCCACACACACACAGCTACTTTTGGTTGAGGATAAAGGCAGGAAGGGATGAGCGACCAGTTTCCCTCCTCTCCCATCCAACTGTTCACTCTTCGTCTCTTCTATAAAATCAGTTTGTTTTCTCATAGACAAGCTGCCAAAGGAAAGAGATGGATTGCAACCGTCATGAACCAAAGCCCTAAAAACCACCCAACACGGAAACTCCATTTCCCTGGTTTCGCAAACAATCCCCTCGCTTTTCCCCTTCCCCACAGCTTGCTCCTGCGGCAGCCGAGCCTCAACGCGAGACGGGGGATGTATCGAAAACCAACTGACTTAAATCAGTGAGGGCTTCCCTCCTCTGTTGGGTTGCATGGAAACCCCCGCGAAAACCTGAAAAATCCGGTTTAAGCATAAGTTATTGGACGGCTGGGTGACTCATGGTTTCCGAGATTGGACAACCGAAATTTGTCAGATCCGGTCGCTTCACTTTGGAGCCCAGGATGAAAAATGGAGCTGTGAACCAACCAACAAGCTATGGCTGTGGTGGTCAAAATCCAAATCGTACAACCAGTGAACAGCCCAATCCAACCACTAAAATAGGTTCTAAAATGGGTGGTGAATTCACCTACCAACCAAAATGGTACCATTGGTTTTGACGCATGGCTATATGCCCAAGATCGCCGCCCTGGCAACGACTCCCCAGCACCGAAAGCGGCAACTCCGAAGGCGACTCCGAAAGCAGCGCCCTGCGTCTTTCGGGCTCTCAGAATTCATCTAGCAAAACGCCTCAGGGGTGGAGCCCCAAAGCTTCGCAGACGCAGACGTTGCCGCAGACGCTACATACGTGTTTTTCTTCTTCTTTTTTTCCACACTTACTCTTCCAAGGGTTTTGGGCTGTGTTTCGACAATAAAGGGCACACACCTCATCTCCTGGGGGTGTGTGTGTGCTGGAAGCTGACTAAGGGCGAACTATGCTTACACGGCCAAAAGCACCACTGCAAAAAGCCAAGAGGAGGATGTCGTCATCTTGCCGGTGTTAACCCTGACAGTGGGCCACCCTGACAGTTCATCCCTCGAAAATCTGGGCTCCCCTGGGCTGCCGCACATCTAGGCGGCGACACGACGCCGTCCTGTAAGCCGCAAAAAGAGCAATCAGGTGCTTGCCACTTGCGCGCTTGCGCGAGGGGTCTTAAAGCGAACGCCAACGCTTTTAGCAGGTCTGTCGCGGTGTTTTTTGCTTGAGCCCTGTCCAACTGGCTTGCTTCTGGTTTCCCTTCAAAGCCATCCAAAAAGGGTAGCCTCAAAAAAGGCGCGTCCACTGAAATTTATGGGAGTGTCCCAAAGTTGGTCCCCCTTTTGGCTTACGTTGGGCTTCGAGCTTCAAGGCATGCCCCGGCTACTTCACATCTGCCAGTCAGCCGTGCATTTCTCTTTTGAACGTGCGGGTACCGGACTCGACGAGCCGGAAACAACTCGCTGAATTGCAGGTTCTTGGAGACAAGGAAAGGCATTGAACCATATTGGACCAGTACTTTGTTGCGGCAGATGTCAGATTCCGGGAACTGTTCCCCATCCCTTTTCACATCCTCAGGGCCAAGTTGGTTAGGACATGATTACAGACAAGACTCAGGCGATGAGAACATCACTCTTCCCACTGCGGATGAAAGCCATGGAAACAAAGTAGTCGAGGTGGATGAAATTCTATGATTTAGTGTGACGATAACCTATGGTGAGAATGAAGTTTGCGGCAAAAATTGGTAACCAATCTAATATTTCCTCAGCTCTACTATGCATGGACAAACTCCTACACCATCAGGCAGTTGATCCCGGCATATCCCAGTATTCATCGGGGTTCATCCATCCCAACTGGTGCGAGGCGGATTTTGTCCAGTATAAATCATAGGGAAGCTTAGAACCTAAAAACGGCAATTTACTTGGCTGGAAGTAGGACCCCAGCAAAAAATCTATATTTTTCCTGGTTCGTGGAAAACAAAGGGACCCCAAAAAAGCAAGAAAGGAAAAAGGGGAACTAATTCTGGGGAAGTTTACAGGATTGAATCCAAACTCAACCACTAAACCAACTTAAAACCTAAAAATAAACCCAAGGACCCGGACGGCTGGGCACCAAGACGAATTCACCAAACGGAAGTATCAGGAATCCACAGGTAAGAGACCGGTCTCATAGCCTGTGTTGCTTGAAGAGCACGTAAGTTTAGCCGACATGGGTGTCTTTTCTGAGTTGGTACCCCTTTTTGTGGTTTTGAAAAGGACAAAAGAAAAACATCATCCATTTTAGGGCTCCCTCCAAAAATCGCAAAGCACACCAAACGGCTGTGCCTTGATCTCTGCGGCAATTCCCAGGCCGAAACGTCAACAACTTCAGGCTCCGGGAGGCTTCGCACCTAGACAACCCCCGGACTTCCTCCGTCTGAAAGTCGCAAGGTACGATGAAACCCATATTGTTCCCCACACGCTCAGCACTTCGCAGATCCGCACTGCCCACAAAAAAACGCACGGAAGCACCGAGTTGTTGGCTCCATGCGTGCTTTTGTTTGTTTGTTTGTTTGTTTTGCGGGAGCAAATCACCCAGTTCAAAGTCCCAACTTGCGTCGGTCCAACTCACTTCCGCGGCGGGGAAAAAAACAAAACAATGCGCGCTGTAATGGTATCTCTCTTCTTCTTCTTTTTCCCGCGCAGCGGCGCTCGGAAACATTCCAGCATCTCGCAGCGGGGCGTTTCACCTGGCAGAGAGGGAGGGGCGTTGATTCAATGGTCATAGAAGCTCCGGGGGGTTGAGGACGATGCGGATCCGACTTTTGTCTCTAAAGGGAAACATCGGAGCACAAACAACAGGCACCAGGACACCCCCTTTGTTGAGATCTTTGAAGGAAACCGAAAGAGTGACCTCACCATTCTGTCCGCTGCGACGAGGCTTTCTGGGGCTTGCCCCTTCAAGCAGCGGCATCAAACCCACGAAACGACAAAAGCACTAAACTGCCATGGCAAGCACATAGGTTGAACGCGTGACACGGCAAACAGATTAGACAACCATAAGTGGGAGACAAACATGCATAGAACGAAATTGGCAACTATGTTTGTAATAGTGAGTATTTGCGTATTTGCCGTATGCAAGAAGTATTTGAGGACGTCCAATTGGATGTTGGGTGGGCCGATTGCCAAAACAAGTTTGACCATCCTTCTTGGGAAAAGATATACCTCAAACATAATTTCACGGCCACTTTTAGGATCGAACCCATACATGTCCAACTACAGTAAATAAATAGCACCTGAACCGGCACGGCTGACCGCGCAAGCGCCTAAATTAGTTCGTACCTTGGGGGAGCCCATCTTGTTCAACCAGCTCTGCAACAGGCAGCTCCGCAGTGGACTTCCCATCCGGCGTCAACAAGAAGACAGCCTCTTGGAGATCCAATGACCCCCACAACAGAAAGGAGATAGGGGGAAGGTCCACTAAGATTGGGGTTGTGCGTCCAGATCTAATGACCTTATAATAGAAAGAGAAAAGGTTCACCAAGATTGGGGTTGAACTGGTTGGTTCATCCAAAAAGCGGGGAGCAGCACGCCCCCATCCCCAAAACCTATCCTCCTCTTGCGAAGCAACGAGCATTCCCCTACCCCGCACAAAACAAAAAAAAAGCCTCAACCCAGCCACCCCACCATCTCTACTCTTGGTATGGTAGCACAAAACTTTGTTTTTTGCAGACCCCCAGTAAAAATGAACAGAACCAAAAAACTAAAAAACCGAAAAACACGCCAAGAACAGTGAAGCCACTCCTCCCTCTTCCGAGCCTAGAGCTTGGACCGGGACACCTGGAGCTCTGCAAAGCCCGTGGCCTCGTCATAGTCTCGCCTCGCCCGCGAGGCAAGGCGCGGACATCTCCGGACACCTGCTAGGCTTTTGCTTGCTTGCCGCTGGGATTTCCAAACTGATCCCCTACTAAAAGTGAATAACTTTTGGTGGGTTAAATACAACCCCCCACTAAACCAACCAAAAGTCTAAAAAGCTAAGGGGATGGCTGGGAGCCACAAAGGTTTGTGTGTTGGTTTGAACGTTCGTGTTTCTCTGTGTTTTTTATACTTGACCCCACCCCCTCAAATGGCCCAGCTTGTGTAGTTGTGCCTCTGTGCACATCGGAACTGTTGGCGCCTGTTCTTGACGGCGAGAATTCGGATGCTTCGGCCTCCCATCCCCTCCTCATGAGGCCTGACCCGCCAAGTTGGCTGCCCAGAACATCCGGCATTGACTGAGATGTTGGAGCCACCAACAAACAGTTTGGAGCTTGCCAACTAGAGCAGTAAGCTGCTCTGTGAGCATAACAAGGAACATGTTTGGGCTCGTAGACTGCTTGCTTGCCCTGTTTGGGTACTCTGGGCAAACTACTTTATGCCCAACCCAGAAATAAAGGAACCCCTAGCCAAGGACCTTTTGCCCGAGCTCGACAAATCATTCGTCCAGTTCTATTCTCCCAGACTCAACAAACAGTTCAAGGTTTGATGTAGTTTGAGCGCCTGAAACAAAACATTTGCTCAAGGGGAAACTGCCCGCTTCGGGATGTGTTTATATCTTTTAGAGCAACCTCTGTGGGTGCCTCTCAAAACAGGGGCATCGTAAACTGGCCATTTTTTCTTTTTGGCTTCCCTCACACAGCTCCCGATTCATTTGGGGGCCTCAAGCAGCAGATTTTGAGACCCCCAATGTCCAGTGGAGGGGTCAAATCTTCCATTGAAAGCCCCAAAAGCTTCTGGGCCCTTAAAAAAGAAAGAAAGAAACAAACAACGGGTGCCCTGCAACAAGAAAAACCGCAGCGGTTCACTCCACCCCGCTTGGGGGTCTCCAGCGCCTGAAGTTCAAGTCCGGCAGCTCCAGCAGCACAATCTCCGCCGTGGTGAAGATCTCGCGGCCGAAGTCGGTTTCCGGACGAGCTTCCGACACGCGCGCGTCGGTCTCAAAATGAGTTACCAATTTTGGTTGGACCCCCGAAAATGGGGGGGGGGGGCGTCCCTTTTGGTAAAATCGGCGTGTGTGTGTGTGTCACTTTTCGGGGTTGGGCCCCCTCCAAATGGGGAGGTTCTCCCTTTTGGTTGCCCCTTGAAACCATCAAGCAAGGGGGTACCTTCAACAAAGGACACCCATGACACCCATCCCCCACGGAAGCCTGGTGGATTCCATCTCGCTCAAGCCCAAGGGGGGT